TTCTGGTACATTTGTTCTAGTGGTTCGTTCAACAAGGTAGGGAGGGTCTTTTCAATTTATTATACATTTCTATGTTTCATTACAACGTGATAATCATTGAGTCACGTTTTTATAAGCATTTAATATTATAATGCGACTTATGTCGCAATAAAAAATAATTTGCATATATAAGCTCTGCAACTATTTAACTTGATCCTTCTACTTTCACATTAAGAGCGTAATTCAGAATTGGAACCGTTGAAAATACATGTTAATAACTCTTAGGTTATTTGCATCATCACATGTACGAAGTGATTAAAGCTAAACTGAAAAACATTGAAGATTACGATATACTTCGATTAATTGCCGAACCTAACCTCAAACTCAAATCTTTTAAAACTCAAAGAAAATGTCAGTTTAGCCAGTATAAACCAGCTATATTACGGATCTTTTAAATCTTTCTAATCTTTTACGTTATTTACGTTGTTGCTGCGTGGTGAGTAATTTATTCGTATCTTTTTATGCTAGTTTAATATGTGAACAACTATTTCATCTATTGTTACAACTATTTTTATTTTGACTTGTTTTGTAAATTTCTATTTTTGATTCTCCTAGTCCTAATCCTTCTGTTTTGATTCTTCTAAAACAAAATTGACTAATAAAAATATACGTTATGAAAGTATGTGTATTTAATTGTTAAATTCAAAAATTTAGAAATAGTTTAAATTAGATGTAATATTGTATTGCAATCAATATTAGTTGAAAATCGCAACAAATATGTATTATAAGTTTTATTAAGAATATATTTATTTTTTGAAAATTATGTTTGCGTTTTATTTGTTTATATTTATATTTATAATTAGTACCTATTTTATGTTCATTGTAAATATTAAATTATTTTTTTAGTTAAAAGAGGGATGCCACGCAGCAAGCGTAGAGCGCCCTCTAGCACAAATCATCATACATCTATTGAAATGTCACCTAGTGCCCACGAAGAGGGTATATCAAGGCATCCATCAAAAAGACTTAGACATACATCTAGGTAAATTGTATTGCAGCAATTTAAATTTACATTATACGTATATGCCAATAAGAATCCAAATTTAAACTTCATAACTGGATGTTTTTGTATCAAATATAGTAAATATTATATTTCTTCTTTCCAGTGCAAGACGTTATACAAAAACAGAAGATGTTTCGAGTGCTTCATCTTTCTCTCAAAAACGTTGTATCACATGGTTTAGAGAATATACAACACCTGATGATTCAGATACTTTAGGGCCTGAAGGAATGGAAAAATTTTGTGAGGATATTGGTGTAGAACCTGAAAATGTAGTAATGCTTGTACTTGCATATAAAATGAATGCCCGACAAATGGGTTTCTTCACGCTAAGCGAATGGTTAAAAGGTCTTTCGGACTTACAATGTGATTCTATTAGTAAAATACAACAAAAACTTGAGTACCTAAGGAATCAATTAAATGATCCACATACATTTAAGGGAATATACAGATATGCTTATGATTTTGCTAGAGTAAGTATTATGTTTTGCCTTTTTTTAAATTTTTTTGGAACATATATGTATTGTATGCCATATTTTAGGACAAAGATCAAAGAAGTATGGATATGGAAACTGCAAGAGTTATGTTACAATTACTTTTGGGAAAACATTGGCCATTGTTTACACAATTTGCTCAGTTCCTAGATCAATCAAAGTACAAAGTGATTAATAAAGATCAATGGTGCAACATCTTAGAATTTTCTCGTACAATCACTCACGATTTATCCAATTATGATTTAGATGGAGCATGTGTGTAATTGTATAATGTTACTAAATAAGTATGTTTTAAATTATATGTATTTAATGCATGAATTTTTTACAGGGCCAGTAATGCTTGATGAATTCGTTGAATGGCTAAAAATACAGCGAGGTGACGAAACACCATTAACAGAAGCTAGAGGCAGCTGAAACACTCAATAATAATAGTCTACTAAAATAAAAAGAAATCATCTCTTCTGTCATCATATTTTGTTAATAACGAAATTTCTGTTTTTATCATAACCTCGCAACATTTCAGTTATCATCAATCTTGCTATATTTTTTATTAATCAATGATAATGTAAGTAGTCCATCTTAATATGATTTTACACTGTGTTATAAATGAATTTTGATTAGGAATTTTCTAGATTGTTCTTAATTATTTATCACCATTCATTGCTGATCCAAGCTTCGTCGCAAAAATTCTTGTGATTAAAAATATATTTATTTTGATATAAGATTTATTTGTGCAATTTATAAAATTTAATCTCAGTTTTAAAAAGTAGAAGACCATAATAAAGTTTTTTATAAAAAAATATCAATTTTTCTATTGCAGTTTGGCATCTCATATTATTTTCATAAAATAATAGAAATGTAATAGATTATACATTATATCTTAAATATTAATAAATATAACGAATTTATGTTTTAATTTATTATAAATCAAACATGAAATTACATGTGAAGTTATTCATAAACGTACGCATATTCAAAATTCTTTCTACACTATTAAGTATATTTCACATAAAAATGTTTACGAAATTTAGATACTTATATAACTATTACTGCAAAATATTTAATAATCACAAATATTATTCATTCAAATAGATTTATAAATAAAGTAACATGCATAGAATGTAAGTAATACAACGTTTACTAATACAATGTTTAATATCCAAAATACAATGGAACACATTGGTACATATTACTTAACCAACATAAAATAATTCTTGTATTCTCTTTCTTGTAACGCCATAAATATTGATGTACATTAGGTTTTTTTATTATTAAAACAATAGAACATTTATGAGATATTGGAATTAAATGTATTTCAAAATATTGAGTAAAATAATATAATGTTATTTTTTTAAACACAGAGGCATGGTGTAGATTTGAAATACGAGTTTGAACAGATTCGGTAAATTTTTTTAACATATACTTTATGTCATAATAATTTTTGCGACAATTTATACGGATTAAATGTGTGGTGATTATTCAAATAATTTGTATTATATTTTAGTTCAATCAATTACTGACTTTTATCTGTTAGGAGAGACTATACATCGCGATTTCGAATTTTATTTAATAGAAAAATTTGGGTAATAATAACATAGGTAATTACTGCGATAATATCATAAATTAGTTCAATTATTACATTAAAATTGCTTAATTATGTGTATGTGTATATTTTTTCCTGCATGTGCACTTCTATTACAAATAATGTTATCATTAGTGATATAATATAAAATTAAATTTCAAATTTCGCTCATAACTTCCAAATTAATAGTAATCTTAATTCATGAAAAAAATATCTAATGGAAAATTATAAACCCATACATCATAACGAAGAAATTAGAAACAAAAATTTAAAATCATATATGTCGCTGCAATACAACTGCGAATGAAGAATGTAATGTAATAAGAAACGTAAAATAAATAAAATACTTTTTTCAATAAACATGTAATTCCTTTTGTTTATATATAATGACATTCCAATTGCCATATAAAAATTTGAAAAATTATTTTAAATTTTATATAAATATTTTAATTTATACAAATATCGTTAATGTATCGATACTTTCATTGCTACTAACTTACGTTTAAAAATCGCGCCAATGTTCACACGTCCTTACGCATTGAAATATTACATATATGTATCCGAGTACCCGATTATCACCACGATATATGAGATAGTTGAGACTCCATATCTATTATTTCTATTCGGACGTCTACAATGCAATTTTTATTTCAGCGATAAATAACAGAACAAGGAAGCAATTGTTTTAAATTAGATGTCCTTGCATAAAAATACTAAAAGTTTAAATTTTCCAATAATAAAATTCATTCGCCTTGAACTAACGATATTTCCAGTTGTAGAAAATACTTATTTAGAGCTAGTAGATACAAATATCTTTTAGCAGGTTTTTATCAGTCTTGAATTTTTTTTCTCTTATTCTTCGCCATTCTAGTGGACATAAATTGTAATTTATTATTTGTAGCAAGAACATAAATTAATTGGAACATCGGATGAAATTATATCGAGTATCCGAATATCCGAAAAATTGAGTAATAACTCTAGCCTCAATTATCTCATAAGATACTTGGGTATCTGAGTACTAGGATACCTAATGAGATAAATTTTTCTTTATTCAGATATCTCATGGGTAGCCAAGTTTCCGAATATTTGGTATATCCAAATAGAGGTACTGGTACTAATGTAATGATGAGAAATCCTATGAGATAACGGAAGAGCAAAGTACTCTGTCCGTCTTTCGCTACCAACATACTGTTATATCGACATTGTGTATGATACTTTCAGCCAATAGATATTTTTACATTTAAGAATACATCGAATCTACTGGAAATAACGCAACCGGCATTCCTTCCGAGGAATTCATCTCTGCATGAATGGAATAAATCCCAAATAGAGAATAGAGAACAATGCGAATAAACATCGATGATTTTAGTTTTAGTTTTCGAATTTTTATTTCCAATATTTTGTAAGGAAGATAGAAGACAAAAGTCAATTGATATGGTAAATATAGGATTAATGTTAGTAACAAGTTCGGAACCTATTTTCATCCAGCAGTGCTATTTTTATTCGACCGCGGGGCGAACACAGTTTAAAATAAACGTGCAATAGTCTTCTAGTAACAT